ATAGAAATTGTAATCTTACTCAGATCAGAGAAATTGCTTAACAGGCAGCCCATACCAGGGTGTAATAAACTCACACATCTTCAATAATTATCCCAACAACCGCAAAAGGTTAGCATTAGCAAACTTCCAAAGAAAAGAGCAGGAGCGTGAGGGCGTCACTTACTAACCAGCAGGAGTTTAATACCTAATAGTCCTTTTTCACTCCAACAGCTCTAAACTCAGAGTTCTTGATGCAGAAATGAGACTCAGACAGTTCAGAAACTGTCACCAGTTTGAATAAGTCAATCATTTCTCTAAAAACCGGCAGCTCTAAGCAGGACGAACTGTTAGAAAATCTTCATGCAGAAACAGTTCCTTTAAATAACAGACGATGATGCAGCTTTCTGCAGCTGCTCCTTTCTCCCACCGACCCACTGAAGCAACTTCTGTCTCTCACCTCTGGTTCCGGTCGCCATGTCTGCAACTTTCTGGAAAGCATCCAGGAAGGCTCCAGTGACCGCGATGGTTGTCCTAAAGGAAACAGAAAAGCATGCAATAAATAGAAGGCCTTTTTTGAAGCGTTTGTCAATCAAGTGTGTCTCAGGAAAGAAAGGTTTGGTCATTTAGAGAAGAAAAACGTTTCAGCAAAACACAGTTCATGTGTTTCTTAATCTATTTAGTTAGTTAACAGCTTCACTGTCAACTTTTAAAGAGACCTCCATCTTCAGAAGGTTCTTCAAATGATTATTCTAAATGACAGAAAAATACAGATGTCAACTGAAAACCCTTATTTTTACTGTTAATACAGATTGATTCATTCCTTGGCTCCAACTAAATCCATTAAATAATAACTCACTAAAGTACTTAGACAACTTTTATAGTTATTTTGTATACAAACTTAATTGTGTTTAGTACAGCTTTCCAAACAGTAAGCGAAAAGTATTTAAAGTACGCTTTTGAACATCACCAAACCTTTATGACCTGTTCCAGGTCATACTATGACCCAGAGGAGGGTTGGTCGCTAACAGCCAGATGTATGCCTCCTGTTTTCAATCTGACTGAAGGGAATTAAAATTAGCTTGAAATAAAAATGTTCATAGCAGCAGGATAGTTGCCAGGTTAGCAAAGGTTATAGCCAAACTTTTTTTTGTCAGGATAAACATTTTCCAATGTTTGTGTTTGAATTAGGGATGGGTAATTAATTGCATTTGCAATATAATCACAATTTAACCAAACACAGTTTTCAAATCGCAGAGGCTCTGATTATTAACGGCACACATTTACCGTATTTTCACGACCATAAGGCGCACCGTACTAAAAGGCGCAGTCTCAGTTATGTGTCCCATTTCTGTATTTAACACACACATAAGGCGCACCGGACTATAGGGCGCGTTTTTTATATAGGTACATGTCCTCTACTACGTTTAAATACCTCTACTGCCTATTTAACAATACAGCGGGCCCAAATCTGAGTATGACTGTGCTTTATTCATGTCTTTATTACAAAGTAT